ACGAAGAAATGTTGAAGGGCAACTTGTCGATGGTTTGATTTCAGTCACATTTAGCTTCTAGTTTCTCTGGATGTAGTCACTTCAGAGATCTCGCTCCGAATAGACTATTTAGACAGCTACGTGGAAATAATCCCCCCTCCTTCCCTCATCCCATGAATCTGTTGGCATACAATACTGTATGTTAGAAAATTATTGTCTTACCCTTGCTTTTACTTTACATACGTTTTTATATTTCAACTCCAGGATACTGAAGATTTGTTCTAATTTCGTCATGTCATTGAGTTTGGTATAGCTTCTATTTTCGAATTCAATTATATGAAAATTTGATAGATCACGATTTCTTCCTACATCCGAAGCATCTTGTTGAGTTACCCAGGACGTGGGCTGTTTGAGGGATTTCATACTTTTGCCAAACAGAGCTTTGTGAATTTGGTAAAAACTGTCATGAGCTATTGATTCATTCGCTCGGCTCAAGTAGTATTTTGGAGTTAGCAGCATTATGTTTGTATTAAAGAAACTTCTTATGGGTTCACGCGAAGCAAGATCGGTCGGGAGATGAAGTACGAGGATTAACACTGGGCATGTTTGAAGAAACTCTGATAAAGCCCTATGAATTGAAGTCGACCTGAAGTGCGGATGATGTGCCGCGGCCCTCCTTGGATGATAAGGCCAGCGCAGCAGTAAGGAGAATCAGATCATTTCTTGAGAAATCAAAGCGCAGAACAGGAGAAAAGTCGTGGCACATTTTCAGTTCCTGTGTAGTTGGCCGCATGGCTTGCGAAGTATCAGCCCCTATGGCATGCAGGTTTACACCCATCCTGGAGCTTTCCATCGTCTGATCCCCAGGAATCAACCCCAAGAGGATAAGTCCCTGAAGAAAGAGGCTGTGAGGAATTATAGAGCAGATTAGGGAAGCATCTTTCGGCATTTTATCCATATTAAGCAGAAAGCTGAGATGCATGTAATTTTAGAAGGGATAAGGAAATGATTGCGATGGCGTAACCGATATCAAAGA